CCATTCCGAGGACTTTCCTTCGCACGTGTTGGTCTGCCGAACATGCCGATTTCTAATAATCTCCTCGTGAGTGGATGCGGCATCCCGGATGGCATTCGAAAGATGGGATGCAATTGATTGTTTGTGCTTGAGCGAGAGTTGTAGAAGGGACGTTAAAAGTGGTTGTGGAATTATAGTGTGGCGTGTTCCAGCCAAGAGCCTGGAGGACATGGTGGACATTTGTTTGGCTCCTCAACGACCAATCAGTCTATTTCGTAGTAAAATGTCTTAAATGAACGCCTATTGTGGTCTCAAAGCTATTACATGATTTCAATTCTTTCGACTTATAAAGTGGTTGTGGGAAGACGTGACCTGCTAGGTATAAACATATCTTTATTGCAGGTTGCGATTAAGTACCCCGTAAGAAGGTTTCAAAAGTAAAGTGTGGTATCATTGGTAGCTAACATTCATTCAATTACAAACCCACCATCATTAAATTTCATTCCTCATCCAATTCGTCACAACTCTATGTACGTATCACCATCTTCATATATATATTTGTTGTCGCCAGACTACAACCACACCATTAATACGCCAGAGCTGAGGAACACGAAGGTCGCAACAGCCCAGGTAAGGCCCGAAGTGGTTACCACACGGGAAGAGCCACTTTGGCCTCCAGCAACTGAAGAAGTGGCAGAGCGGGCTGAACCTGTGCCTGTTGAAACACCGCCAGATGTGCCAGATGGTATGGACACTGCTGATGATCTAGAGCTGCTTGTGCTTCCAGAACCGGTGTTACTAGGTGTTGAAGCGAGTGCTTGTGTGGCTGCAGCTGGTGTAGGCGTCGAAAAGGTTGCAGACAAAGCTCTAAAGCTTGAACTTGCTGCTAGTGAATCTGTTTCGCTGATCGTGAAAGTTGTTGTTGTGGTGATTGTTGTATATGTGCTCAGCGTCAAAGTCGATGCGGCGACCGCACTGTATGTCCAGTACCAGGAGTAGTACCACCTGAGGAGTTAGCAAGGATTCGCGGACATCGGGGTAATATCATACCAGGTATATGTGAAGTAGTAGGCTTGAAAGACCGTATTGACAGCGGTTCGTGTAGTTGGTGTTGTTGATATGTCGGTCAAGGTCGCGCGGGTGGTCGCCACAGTACCACTTGTCGCAGCGGCAGTTCTGGTGGTGGAGGTGACACCACCAGTCACGTAGGCTGTACAGCGTGAGTCTGTGCAGCATCTATGCAACCCGTTTACTAGGTAGCAATGGTTTCCGGGTGGGCAGTAGTTTCCACTTGAACAGCATTCCCCTCCTAATGGATAGCAGTGGCCGACTCCGCAGCAACCCCAACCAGATGGGCATGTTCCATAACTTGAGCAACATGTGTCTCCAGGATCGGCGCAGTACAGAGAGTTCGGGCAGCAATTGCGTCCAGCTTTACAACAGACGAGTGGGCAGCAGCCATCACCTGTGGGGCAGCACTTGAGGCTGTCTGTAGAGAGAAAAAATCAGTGTTGTCTAGACAAAGAATTTGAGTTAGCATACTTGTGCAAGGAGAATATCCAGCATCTACACATGTAGCACGTTTTCCAAGCCACGATGCGACAAGAGATCTACCATCTAGAGGCATGGCCCCCAGTTCCGTACTGCTCCCTCCTTTCTTCATCTCGAAGGTCTCCGCCAGAGGAGGGCCGCCATCATCTCTGGGTGCCATAGCAGCCTCTGGGTAGGTGGGCACTTCACTCCATACTAAGGCAGAGAACAATACTATCGCGATGCTGAGGGGAGCTCGAAGGAGCTTCATTTTGCAGGAGGTAAATTGTGCAATATCTGAAAATTAGGTGACCAAAACAAGATTGCTCGAAGAATCACCACAATGGTTCTTCCCTAATTTATATGTACCCAACCTCCACTTCTACGTGCAAGCCCATGAAAGTGCCTTGCTTGTGGCCTGGTATATTGAAGTCTTGGCTAGAAGCTGAATGAACCCTTGGCAATGGGACCAACCTTCTGGTATGAGGTACCATGATGGATCCCTGCTATCGAGACCTTTCCGTATCTATGGGTGGCACCTGCTGTGGCAGAGTCACTGCACAACATCTAAAACATATGTGGCGTTTAAGCACATTGGTATAATTTCGGGTATAGGTTGACCTAATAAAATAGAAACTTCCTGCTCTTCGTGTTTGATTTGAATCTGGTAACTTTTGACAGCTTGCACAAAGAGCCATGAACAACTCCTAATAGACTTGGCAAACTTTGCCCCACGAGACAACTTGCACTTGATCTCATGGTATCCCGGACAAGATGTCCACTAATGGAAACAGATCACCGTCTCTGGCAAACAAAAATCTGGTGAACAAATGAAAGGGGCATGCCGGAGGATAGTTGCAGCGATTTCCCCATGCTGATGATTGATCGACTCGCCAATGAAGAGTTTATTTTGACGCCACAAGAACGTTGAGGCTGAATCTTTTACCGGTGATAGGGGGATGATCTGTGAAAACCGGGCAACTCGCAGGCAACCAAATAACAGCGTCCGAAGGATTCAACAATAAAAAAGCGGGAAATCAGGTGTGCACCTCGTGGCCACCCTACAAACTCACGCTGGACGACGGCTTCCAAGGATTAGAAGTAGCTTGACTTGGGCTCACAAGAACTTGACTGACCGCGACACTGCACGGCGACTGCAGGAAGATGGAAAGATGGATAACGGCTTCTTGGCGTGCGGAGAATCAACTATTGACTTGTTGCTAATCTTGAGATCGTTTGATTTTTTGCAAACGGAGGTTCTCAAACGGAAATCTTTAACGCCTCAGGCACGAAACTGAAAAAATGAGAGTGGGGCTGTAACCACGTGATATATTGATCAGCCTTTCCTCTCAGCCTTGCGCTCGCTTAAGCCATCGTGGAAATACCTTCTGGAAGATCATGCCATCCAACCTTTCTCGAAACAAGGTTTATCGTCATGCCACTTTCTAGATCCGATCATACCCCGCATGCCATGAGACTCTGGCATGCTGGGGTGAGATGCGGTCTCATATCCACCCCACGATCTCCTTTGTTGCACAACAGTTAAAACGCACTCTACTTGCAGTTTTCCACCAGGTACTTGAACATGCAGACCTTTAGGACAGTACGCGTACTATCAAACGGTCACATCTTTCGACCTCCAATCCGACAAGCATCATATTCTACGATGAAAGCACTTGTGTATAAAGCTATAGGGGACGTCAAGCTTGAGGAGCGGCCCAAACCCAGAATTACGCAGCCAACAGATGCAATTATCAAGCTCACTAAGTCCACCATCTGTGGGACAGGTGTGGTACCCAAGCTTATAAAAAGCGACAAATACTAACCAAGATTTCTTCTAGATTTGCACATTGCCAAGGGCGACGTTGCTACCTGCATCCCTGGTAGAATTCTGGGACATGAAGGCGTTGGCATAGTTGATGAGCTGGGCGGCTCAGTCAAAGGCTTCAAAAAGGGAGAGCATGTCCTCATTTCTTGTATCTGCTCCTGCGCAACCTGCGAATACTGTCGGAGGGGCATGTATTCACACTGCAAGACTGGTGGTAAGTTCGACGAAGTGTCTTAATGACTGAGGTTAATCAATTGTAGGTTGGGTCCTTGGAAATACGATTGATGGGACTCAAGCTGAATATGTCCGAATTCCCCACGCGGATTCCTCCCTCTACCCAATACCGGAAGGAGCAGACGAAGCTGCTTTGGTGATGCTGAGTGACATTTTCCCAACTGGTCTTGAATGTGGTGTTCTCAATGGCAAGGTTGAGCCGGGTAGTACAGTTGTGATTGTTGGAGCTGGTCCCGTTGGACTTGCTGCCATGATTACTGCTCAATTATATTCACCCTCGATGATTATCATGATTGATACTGATCAAAACCGACTGAAGGTTGCACATGAGCTGGGGGCGCACCATACAGTAGACCCTACAAATGGCAAAGCAGAGGAATTTGTTAAGGGTGTTACAGATGGCAAGGGCTGTGATACTGTCATTGAAGCTGTTGGAGTGCCGGCATCATTCGAACTTTGTCAGAATCTGGTTGCGCCGGGTGGAGTTATTGCGAATGTTGGTGTACATGGAACGAAGGTTGACCTTCATCTGGAGAGTCTTTGGGCCCAGAATATTTGTAAGATTCTTCATCTCTTCGATATAGCCTTAGCTGACTTGCCAGCCATCACTACACGACTAGTTGATACTGTCACAACCCCAATGCTTCTCAAGCTAGCCCTTTCAGGCAAGATTGATCCATCAAAACTTATAACTCACAGTGAGCAGTTCCTCACTTATATATAAAGTCATTGCGCTAATTACTTTCCGCAGAATTCAAGTTCGAGGACATGGAGTCGGCATATAGTACCTTTGGCGCTGCATCTAAGCATGAGGCATTGAAGGTCTTGATCGAGTTCTAGATCTGTTGGTGTAGGAGGTGGATAGGTATTGGATAGATGCCGCAAAGATATAGAGTTCTTTTATTGGTATTGGATCTGGCAAAGAGCTTGGATTGCTTGGATTTGGCGGTGAGCAGCAATGCATTAGCAGTACTTCAGAACGTGGCATTTTTTGTCGTTACGATCCCCAGCTCTAGCATTGATATGAATTAAAGGTACCCTTATGACTAGTTCTCTAGAGTACTTGCGCCTAATGAGTTGAGATGCAAGGCTGTGAGTGTCGATTTGTCATCTAATCATGTTGGATCGTGATGTTGTGAGGACCCTGGATGAAAATATATTCAAACAAAATATACGATTAATCACGATACTTGCCTATCACGACCATCTTAACCTATAAATCATTTCACATTAAATATCAATAAAGCTCTAACACTCAACCCCATTCCCACCAATCATTCCTCCCTCCACAGCTCTGCGTCATCCGTATCGGCTTCGGCTAAACCACCCCACCTAAATCCCATAATATCTTCTCATTGGCCACAAATCATCCAACCTTTGATAGGTTAAAATAAGCACACTTCTGGGCAAACACTTCAAAAAACCACCAACTCCTGTGACGCAGTGGTTAGCGTGTCGTTCTTATATTCTTCGGTTCATGAAACTGATTAATATGGTAATGCGAAAGCCGTGAGTTCGACCCTCACCAGGAGTAATAAATATAACCATTTTTCTTTTTGCGCTTTTTGGAGGTGAGGAGGTGTTACTTGGGAGGGGAGTTTTGAGATCGTATTAATGAAATTGTGTCGATTTTTCTTTTATAAATAAGTATTGATAACGCATCTTAGTATGGTCGTATGATGATGTACCTCTTTGTCATTTTCAACTTTGCATCTCAATGGATGCAAGTCTATAAGCAATTTTCGAGTACCACCAACTCGAAAGTTTAATGAGTCATCCAATTATTACTGCCAACTCAAACCCACATACAAGAGCATCATACTTAAACATGATAGTCAAGATGTAAAAACATATCTACGTGGATTTCTCTTTTATGTACCTCCCAAGCCTTCTTTATACATACAACTACTTCAAAATCCTCCCTCTTTTTTTCTTGCAACTCGGACTATCGATTGCAAAATTAAGTAGCATTTGATATGCCCAACAGAGTCCCATAATTCGGCGTCCCCAGCCCAGTCGCAGGATCCCAACCCTATTGTAGAAGTTAGTGCTCTATACTCCCTAGCCATCCATTCAAATTCAAAACTCACAGCAACAGCACTAAAACCCGCCCCACTAATGGCAGGACTATTCGAACAGCCCACAATCTTTCCTGTAGTAACATCATTAAACCCCTTCCCTGTCTGCGCAGCACCATACAACCAAGGATTCAAAAAACCCAACCCCTTCTTTCCATTCGCAATCCGCTCACTACTCAGCAGCTGCATCACACTCGCCACCATCGGCGTGCTCGCACTAGTCCCACTCACACCACCCGCAGAACCCAGAATGTAAACGAGATAATTCGTACTCTGCGCGCTGATATCCGGGTATGCCCTCCCGGAGGCATTGAAATATGGTGAGTATGAAGTGTGCGTCTTGTCTGTTGAGAGCCAGGTATTGACTGTGGAGTTCTGGTAGCTTGGTCGACCGAAAACTTCACTGAACCCGCCACCGCCATAAGACCAGGCACCTTCTGGTGCGGTACCTGTAGTGCCACCTACGGCTGTGACCCAGGGGCAGGCGGCGGGGTAGAGGGTTGTGAATTGGGACTTTCCCGCTACTTGGCATGTACTCCCCACGCCATCATCGCCACTTGCCGCAAGAACACTTACACCTCTCGCTCCGAGCTGTGCGAAGAGATTACAAGTGGAAGTAGCGTACGAGAGCGGAACGGTGGATTCGTCGTCGCCGTAGGAGATGGAAAGGGTATTTGGTAATTGGGCGTCCGGGAGCGCGAGTAGATAGTTGAGGAACTCGAGATAGGGTTCATTTGTGTTTGTTCCGGAGCCTAGCCATGGCGGACTTCCGGCCGTTGAGTAGTAAACATTTGGGATATTTTGGGTTATAGCGCGGGCGTATTGAACGTCGAGATTTGCTTCGATGATGTTCGACTGGCTATCAGTGGTGGGACATGTGCCTTTATTGATCAGTTCACAAGTGTATTTTTCATTTTTGTTGGCATAGTAGGCGTATTTTGACATGAATGATGTCAGGTCTGTCATTACGGGGTGCTGTTCGAGGAATCCGGCGATTCCCATGCGACCTGCTGTTAGGGAGGTAGATGTGCTGTTGGCGAAGTTATATAAGTTTGCGAGACAAGTGGGCGTGATACTACTTCCCGAACAGCCTTTGACAGCTGCGGTGTCGAGGACGTTCGCACTTGGTACAGCAATGTTGGGGCGGAAATCTTTGATCATGGATCCCATGTTGCGGAGGCCGAAGAAGGTAGTGGGCTGGATGGAGTCGACATGCGAAGTGAGAATGGAGGGGAGGCTGTACTCGAGAGTTCGAACGACCTTTTCTCCAGTTTTAGTGTTGGCTTTGAAGAGTTAGTTAATAGTACTAAATAGGGAAGCATAGATCAGTGTTCGCGGAAAGAAAGCATACAGAATGCCCCGTACTCCGTTCTCAGGAGTTTCTCGACCTTTGCCAAGGTAGTCTCAACAATGACTGAGTCGGCTCGTGGTGAAAGGGTTGCATGCTCTTTCAATCCTACACTTTCTAACCATTTCATAACCAAATCCTTGGATTCTTGCTTGGGCGAAATCATGGCATCGATTACGTGCTGGGAGAGATGATTTCCATATAGTTTGTGACCCGGAGTTGCAATCTAGAACATGTTAAATTGTGGGATACTACAATCCATTTGATACAAGTAACTGGGATCCGTCTCATAGCATAGCACATATATGCCATTTGGAGAACATTGTCTTAAAAAGCTACTTACATTCAGAGCCATCTCATGAAATTTGTCCATATCTTGCTGAATCAAATGAATCCTCAACTTGATTGTGGTAGCATCCTTGTCAAGTTTTTGATCTTTATCCTGAGTCCATCCAGCTGGAGGTGCCGAGAGCTTCTCATAAACGGTGCTCTTGGGGACTGCATCTCTACTTCCCCATCGTGCAGGCGGTTTTGCGAAAGCAGAAGTAGAAAGACCAAGAATAGCTACAAAAATCTTAAGGGAAACCATGATGATCACGACCCAGCAACTACAAATCCACAATGAATCGGAATGAGAAATTCTGACGGGAAAAGAGAGGTACTTATGAGAGTTGTGAGAAAGTTACCACTCACTGTACCTGCAAGATTCCTTGTCATCGCATTGTCCACTGGGAAGCCAGGGAAGGGGATATAATTCTCCTCAATATCTTGAGCTGCCTTACGTGGGGCATGCTCCGGTTTGTAACTTGCAGCGATGTATATTAAGCTTCTCTATCTCGGAAGGTTGATTGGATAGTAGTAGTCACCCCTCGGTAGTGACCTGTGTTTTGATGCTTGGCGGCAGATCTGCGATCGGTCTTGATTGCCGACATGTCTCAAATAGGCAAGTCAATGAATAACGGAACAATGATGTTGGTCCTTCCGCCTTGAGCCTCGTCCGAGTACATTTTCCAGATTGTTGTGGCAGGCAGCATGTTTTTGACCTGTTTCAATCAGAATGCATTAGAGTTTCGACTTTGGAGATAAGGACCGTGTTCGGCGTTGGTACAAATGGGGAGAGTTGGAAAGGTGGGTAAATTCTGGACGAAACAGAGTGAGGGTAAATGCAATAGGGTAGCCACCGAGTGCACCTCGACGAGACCTATTTGCGATATAAACTATTCATGGATTGAGTTGTAAAGGTTGCGAGTGTAGGAATACTGGCAGGCTGTTTCCGGTTAGTAAAATCAGCCATAACCCCCCCCTTTTGCCTGAATGGTACTATTTCTCGCCAAGCAGGCCAAGTGAGTGACCACATTGAAAGCGATAAAGGCACATCTCGTTATGCGATGCCCGCCTTTCCATCAACGGGAACAGGCATAAAGATTGCCATTGCACAAGTAGAAGCAAGCAAAGATGCTTTTCACGCTTGGGCACAACCTGGATAACTGGATAGTCCGCCCACCCAAATATATATCCATGGTGGGGGTGGGCTTCTTATAACAAGTTGTATTTACCAACTCTTTCATCAACTCTTGAAGGTATGACAGATTCTGGGATAGTGGCAGGTAAAAATTCATGCTCGACAAAAGAAAGTTAGGCAATGTTTTGGTATGACATAAATATGCCATACTCAACCAATCGTTGTCAACAGTGAAGAATGGAAATGCTTCAATCAATTGGCCTAAGAACCAAATTCGGGCTTTCTGTCTTCACCACAATGCGGGGAAACTGGTATCGACCAGGATAAGCCGCAGTATTTGTGTAACTAGCGCATAAGCTGAAGTATATGCTGTCGTAAATTAAGCTTTCAGTCTTGTCCCATGTGTTTGTGATTTGAGAGGTAATTTGAATTTCGAGCATTCGTGTGATTTCTGTACAACAGAAGGACGTGTGTGGAAACCTACGCTCCACGCCAATTCGTACCTATCGCGATGATCATGAGTATTCTAGATAACGAATGTTAGCAAGGACTTGTCAATGGAAACCTTTAATACGAAGCCATTTGCATGATTCCCACAACATGCCCAAATTCTTCATTCTTGCACCGTTTCCATTCTCCAGCTCTGCCAGCCACAAGAGTCTCGGAAATCTCACTGTGCGGAGTTGGTCACTTACCTCTCATAGCGAGTACAAACTAGCCACGAAACTCTTCGAGAGTGACCTCGATATTTTCTAAGGTTGATGGTGTAGCAAGCAACATGAGCACGATCTCGGGCAGAGTTCTGCCGCTTCACCGCCCTATTGTTCAAGGTACACCCTGCAAGACTGTCAAGTCTCACTTTCTTCAGGAAATTTTACTCCATGATAGGCGTAGGAAGTGAAAGTAGCATTTCATCGAAGTTCACGTCTTAGGAATGCAACCGACCTCATCGATAAGACGAGTCGATATTCACGAGAAGTAAGGCTGACTGCAAGGCATCATGCCTTGCTCCCGGACCTCACAGCTGATTCGAGAGACCCACAAGTGTGTGGCTTTCTTCATGTACAGCCTCAGCAGCATTGTAGCATCAAAGATGTAGCCGCCGAACTCCGAGAGCCTTTCAGCGACTCCATAGATTGTCCTCACGCTTCATATCAAAGTAGAGTCTTCATGGATCCGCTCTCGATAGCAGCCAGCGTGACCGCTCTTGCAACATTATGTGGTCGAGTTGTTGTGCTCTGCAACAATATCGCGGGGAAGCAAAAGGCGATCCGTCGCACACTAATAGCATTGAGGACCGAAATTGTGGCATACCAGGCATCATTGCACCACATTCAGGACTTGCTTCTTGACCAGACTGGAAGTTTAGCGGAGTACCTTTCATCAAATGGAACATGGAAAGACTCGTTCGATACAGCCCTGTCGGCGTGTGGCATCACTGTCTCAATCCTCATCAGTGAGCTGGAAAAGGCCATCGAGGGTTCAACTGGCAGCTCTTATAAGTACTTTTTGAAGGAGGAAGACATCAAAGAGTTGATTGGAGAACTTCGTGGCCAGCAAGGGGCAGTGCAATTACTGGTGCAAACGCTTCAAATGTGAGTTTTTTGGGTGATTTGTTGGATCTTGCTCATGCATGCTGTAGGAAA